GAGAGAGAGAGAGAGAGAGAGAGAGAGAGAGAGAGAGAGAGCGCGCGCGCGCGGAACACAAGCGCGCTCAGAAATTAATGGATTTTGCTTTGTTGCTTCTTGAAAAACATAGAAAAGTGAAAAAATGAAATAAGATATAAATAAGTCGTAAACGAAAATCGTTAAGACATACATATTAACGTGAATATGAAAACACAATTATTTAGGTTAATTTATGATCTAGGTAGGTCGTACGGTTGTTAACAATAACAAAAATTGCCGCCTAGGAGTTTCCGTGTATCTTACCTGTATCTTACAGGTGACGCAAACAACCGACGAACCAATACTAGCGTTTAAAATTGCAATTAATTAGCATTGCTACCGCTAATACCGTAAACACAGTTTATTAATATCACGTTGAGTTTGTATTTGTAGTATTTGTTCTTTTCCTATCGTATTTTACCTTACTGATTTACAATGGCGGTTGGCGAACCGTCGTCCTAAATTCGATGTCACAGCATTAAAAATCTCCGTATTCCGTATAGAACACTTAACACCCAAACGTTTCATTATTTCATTTCGATACACACTACTACGCTATGTTTTTATTACTTCATTTATTAGATTACGAGCCCATATCTAATAGTCGGATTAATTATATATATATATGTTACGTAATTAAACGTTGTAAAGCCTGTGCGGTAATTCACGAGCCATGGCGGCAACTATAGCCACTTACACTCTCCTTCGCTGCTACACCGCAGACACTCAATAAAGCGTGGCAGAAAGAGTAAAACTCTAGCGATGTATCGCGTAATTGATGGCTCACGTTATTATGGATTTATTGATATATGGTACTGTTACGACGGGCGGGCGGAGAAATACGACACGGTTATGGAGTTGTTGCGAGTCTTACGGTCCAGTGATTGGATGCTCAAAGATCACAGAGGGCGCACGGGTCGGTCATGTTTATACCAGTGGTTTATACTCGCCACTGACTGCGCTTAGCTAGAAATGTATATATGTAAATGACAATTATATTTGTATGACAATTAATTGGCGCAAGTTACATTTTCACATGTTTTTAAGTATATTCACTATAAAAAATTCACAGAAAAAGTAATTTACAACGGCACTGAATGCATTCACAAACTGTTAGCGATAAGATCGTTTTGAAATTAGCTAAAAACACAAAACCTACGTGCAATTTAAATTATTGCACACACTAGCGTCGCTCGATATTCGTGCTAATGGTTTTTCTTAACAGAAAAGGACAAACTCATCCTTACAAATCCTTAATATTTGAGAAAATTGTGTTTTATCTTCTAAATATTAAGGAATTTTCTAAATATCCAGATTTTTTCTAAATATCCCGAAAACTTCTAAATATCTCCAAAAATATCCGGATATTTGTATCTAAGCCTACATCGAACGCAATGGGAAAGGAGCAAATATATAATGCAGCAATTTAATCAGGAAGAGTGAGCGAATCCACATATATTATATTACATTTACCATACACATCTATTATATTATTAATACTATATACGGTGCCATATATAGTCACTTTCAGTAGTCTCATAAGGAAAATCATGACCAGTAATCAGAACAAAGATGGGTCCATGCATGGAATGATTGCCAACATCAGAGTATGATAAGACACACAAATAATAACAATAATAATAATTATTATTATTGTTGTTGTTGTTATTTTTATGTTATTATTATTTATTATTACTATTCTAAAAAGCTAGAAGCTAACGCTGGTACAAAATCTTGGCGCTCCGACCAACACTTAATTCTATACTTACAAACGTCTGCACCATACTACGTATAGTAGCGGGAAGGCTAGAGTGACACACCTAATTAAGTGCTAGACCTCGAAATTATAATAAGGCACATCAACCGACTATATGCTCGTATATATATATAGAGTAACGATGCGTCAGCGTGCGCCTGATGACAACCGTACGCAAGTTCGCAACTTAAAATTAATTAAAAATTAAAAATTAATAAAATAACAAAATGAAAAATAGGAGAAAATAAATAAGAGAAAATGAAAAATAGGAATTGAGAGGCACGGACAAAAACATTTAATTTTAGCATTTGCGCCGAAACCCTTATCTCTGTTTACTATCTCTGTTTGATTCTCTGACGGCCCAGGGTTGCGTGGAAGTTGACGAGGTGGAGGTTTGACCACAGGCCCTTGGAGGCTCAACTTTCAAGAAGAGTATAAAAGCGAAGCGCTTCGCTCTTATATACTCTTCTTGAAACTTGGGCCTCCAAGGGCCTGTGGTTTGACAATGCCAAGAGGGTACTATATCAACCACTGATCGCCTTTATATGAAATTACAACGCCTGCACAACTCCCAACAAGCATAATGCGCATTAAGGGCATCATCGAAGCGAAGGGAAACTGTGAGGTAAAGCATGCGTTAACCTACTATTTTTTACGCAAAATGTCCAAATTACGACAACACGACCGCCATTACTGTTATCTCGCGGTTGCAGCAACCCTATGTGTTCAGATGACGCTATCGGTGACACAGGCACTAAGTCTTGGAACGTCACTATAATAAAATTACGGTGAATAAACACGAAATCTATTTACTACCTAAGTCTTAATGTTTTTCTACTCTCTTTCGCAACAATAAAAATATAGAGTCTATATATCTATCTATATAATCAGGAGTCTATCAATATTGATAGACTCCTGATATAATATTAAATCCAATACTATATTTTTTATTGTTTGTGCACAGCGGCGTGCGTGCGGTGTACTTGTGCGTCGCAGAGGAGCATTTGAACGGCATTTACAGGAAATTATCAGTAATAATAGGCGAAAGAGAGTAGAGAAACATTAAGACTGATATTAAATACATTTTACATGTTTATTTACCATAATTTTATGATTGAAACGTTCCAAGGGCCTGTGCACCAACCCTCTATGTTCAAGCGACGCGATCTGGTGTTTGTCAGTATAGGCTATATATACGCTATCCACGACACGGTGGTGCACGGACCAAAGACAAAGAATAGAATATAT